TTGTGACATCCTAGATTTCCACGTGGAATTTATCTTTCGCCTGGATGTTCACATAATCATCGTACAGCGAGATAGTGATCTGCGCAGAACTGAAGAAGTCGATCCCCGTTATCAGTTTGCTCTCAGGTTAGGCAAGCTTCCGATGCCCTCAGTGTTCCAAACTGCGCGTTCAAATCGCTTGTAAGTAGAACTGTGTTGGAGCTTGGACTCAATCGAATGAGTTCGATTAGTTTGTCGTAGAAATCCTCCTTTTGTGTATTGCAATCGGTCGGTGCATATGTCGATATGATAAGCACCTTTTGGTGTTGCCTACCAATCGACCCGTGGAGCACATCGTACACTAATGGCTGTTGATGGAGATCCAGTCTACGAGAGGCTTCAACTCTACTATTGAATGCTTTACCTACCGCGCTGACATACTGAACAGTTTTGTTGTTGCCTGATGTGCGAAGCTAGTACCCCAAGGACAAATCCGATGCTTTCAGGTGGCTTGTAGTACTAGAACCCTGGATTCGAGTCAAGGATCTGTTGTACGCGTCAGGCAAGCACGTTGACCCAATTCCAAAGTTGTCGCACTGAATTCCGCCAGATTCAGTGATTGAAGAGGCTTCTAAAATAATTTTCGTGTAAATTACTCACATTGTTACTTGGCAACCACCTTTGGCGAGTGGCAGCTGAGTTGTTTGAGGGACTGTTACAGGTCGGATGAAGTGGCAAAGGAAGAGGATTGAGTATGAAAAACAACTAATTAACCAGAGCTTGGGATATCTGATCAGTAGCCCACTTGGTACTACCCGCCCGATCAATGCAATGGGCATCGCGGTCCTGACTACCAAGCCAAGTCAAGTCAAGAAGCGGCTTTAATTCTTCCTATAGGGGATGAACATTCAGCTACTACACAATCACTTTTCGTTACATATACAAAAAGCCAATTTAGCAAAGATTCTGTCTAAGAGTTCCAATGACAAGATCAGTGTTGGTAAGAAACCGTGCCAGGTACGGTATTATAGAAGACTTGTATGTAGTGGTGCGTGCTGCTATATGTTTATACATGGAACGAGTGCTAGATGTG